CCGTGGTCGTGCCTTGGCGNGTCGTCGAGGTGTGTGAGCNGACGAGCGAGCGGACGAGGCGAAGGCGAGGCGAGCGGGAGGGCGGGGGGGGGGGGAGGGGCACTCACCCCATCGGACCCATGGTGTCCATATCGGGATCCAGGACGTTTCCCCGCCCCGCTTGAATGGCGCCTAGATCTGCACCGGCGCAGAACGAACCGCCCGACCCCGTCAGGATCGCTACCTTCCACTGTCGACCGGTGCACCCAGACAAACGAGTCAGTCAGAAGGCACCCCTCCCATCCTCCCGATCGCCACCGTGCGAGCTCCGACCACGGGACGGGACGGGTCGGGACGTACCTGGTCGTCGGATGCGAAATCGACAAAGGCGCGGTGCAGCTCCGTGGCGGTATCGCGGTCCACGGCGTTGCGCTTGTGCGCCCGGTCGATGGCGATCACCAGGATCGAGGGCGCCGGCGAGGTGATTCGGATCCTTTCTGGCATGCTGAGTGCGGTCGGGCAAGACGGTGCGGTGGGGGTGTGGGGATGGAGGTGGGTTGGGTTGGCTGGGTGGCCTGCGGACGAGAGACTCTCGTCTCGCAACTCGGCTATCTGGTCATTGCCGAAGCCGAGTCCGAGGCACCCTGCCGGGCTGCGCACACGCGCCGTGGAAACCGGGTTCTGCGCGGATCGGCATCCTTCAAACAATGTCGGGTGGGGAAAGCTAAAGTACATGGTGGATGCGAAAGAGATGGGGGGGAATGGGGGGCAAGGGGCGAGAGGGATGCAAGGCGAGCAACGACGACGGGGCAGACGAGGTCCGCGTCGATGGTCAAGTGGGGAGCCGCGGGTTGCCACTGAACTCCAGAGCGGTAGCAAGAATGTGCCGCAGGGATGGAGACCGAGACGGAGACGCAGACAGAGACAGAGACGGGGTGTCGAGGAGGACGGAGAGAGGCCACGGCACGGGGACGCCTTGCGAGACCTGCGCTCGTACTGTTCAAGGGTACGTCCCCGGCGGTGTCCCAAGGGGCCGAAAGGCAAGCTGGCCATCATCCTCCCCGGCGCGCCGACCGGCCGACCATCAACCAACCTCATCGCAGGAGCACCAAGCGGCAAGGAGCGACACGCGGAGACAGCAGAGGGCCTGGCCTTACTTGTCCTTCTTGTCCTTCTTCTTCTTCTCCGACTTGGGCGTCTCGGCCGGCGCCGACTCGCCCGCCGCCGCCGCCTCTCTTGCCTTCTTCTCCTTCTTCTCTTTTTTCCTTCTCTTCCGCTCCTCTTCCGTCTCGCCGTCGTCGGCGCCGCCGGGCGTCTCCTCGGCCTTGCGCTTCTTCTTGCTGCTCTCGTCCTTGGCTGGCGTCGAGGGCATCTCGGCGGCGGCAGCGGTGGTGGCGGCACCGGCAGCGGCACCGGCGGCAGCAGCAGCGACAACGGCAACGTCGCCCGTCGAGGCGGCGGCCTGCGCGGGCGGCTGGCCCGCGTAGTCGACGTAGTCCTTCTTCCACTTGTCTGGCGTGACGCCGTCGATGGCCTTGCCGTGCTTGTCGAGCTTGCCGTCCTTGATCATCTTCTTCTTCTCCTGCGCCTTGGGGCCCAGGCCCCACCGGCGCGGGTAGGTGTCGCGCTCCATGATGCAGCGCTTGACGCGCGCCACGACGCCGTGGTCGCACGTCGAGAGCTCGACGGTCGTCATCTGGGCAATGGCGAGCGCGATGGCCTCGCCCTTGGTCGTCATCAGCACCACCTCCTCGTTGAGCTCAATGTCCTTCTCGTAGCGCAGCAGACCGGGGATCATGAGCTTGGCGCCGTAGCACACGGCGTTGACGGCGCTGTCCTTGACCACGATGCGCTTGTAGCCGACGAGCAGCGACTCGAGCGGCCGCACGACGCGGCGCAGGTACGACTCGTCGCGCTGGTTGTCGTAGAGCCACTGGGCGTCGAGCACGTCGTGCATCGTGACAATGTTGTCGTTCTCGCTGAGGGCACCGCTGCGCACGCGGCGCAGCTCCTGCATGTGGCCGCCGACGCCGAGCAGCAGGCCGAGGTGGACGCAGAGCGTACGGATATAGGTGCCGGCCTCGCAGCTGACCCAGAAGACGGCGAGATGGCGGTCGTTGTCGAACTCGAGCAGCTTCGACTCGTAGATGGTACGGATACGCAGCTGGCGCTTGACGGCCGAGATGAGCGGCGGGCGCTGGAAGAGGGAGCCCGTGAGGGTCTCGAGGGCGCGCGGCAGCTTCTTTGCGTCGGCGAGCTTGTCGTGGAGGCGGAGGACGGCGACGTACTCCTTTCCGGCGCCCTGCTGCGACTTGACCAGGCGGGTGGCGCGGTCGATGCAGACAATCAGGCAGCCCGTGACCTTGGGGTCGAGGGTGCCGCTGTGGCCGGTCTTTTCGACGCGCAGGATGCGGCGCATCCAGGCGACGACCTCGTGCGACGACGGATTCGAGGGCTTGTCGAGGTTGATGACGCCCGACTTGATGTAGCTCTGCAGGTCGCGCTTGAGCGGCGAGCAGCCGTGGGGGATCGGGGTAAAGTGGCTGCTGCGCACCAGCAGCTTGTCCTGCGGGCGTCCAAGACAGGACAGGTAGTGTCAGGTCGTCAGCACATTGCGCACGCCGTCGCCAGCAGGCTGCGGTGGCGAGGCCCACTTACGTAGTTCTTGAGCAGGAGGGGCCAGTCTGCCGTGTTGAGCTGAGGGCCGGTGCTGTCCGGCTTGATCATAAAGTCGCCATGGCCCTGGGCCTCGGCGACCGACGCTCCGAGCGGTACGGCGGCCATCGTGTGCGTATGCGCGGTAAGGAGAAGGGACGAGGAGGGTCGAGCGAGGGACAAGGAGGCGATGGCGGTGCGGGACGAAGCAAGACGAGGCGGTAGCGATCCAAGCTCGGCCACGCCCTCTGGCGGCGGCGGCGGCGGCGGCGGCGGCGGGAGCCTCAGCGGTCCGCAGATGGGCCGCCCGCTGCGAAGAAATTTTCCGCACCCAGGGCAGTCTAGAAAGTCGAGTCGGAGCCGAGAGCCAAGAGCTAGTCAGTCTGGCCTGGCAGCGCCGTTGCTGTGTCATCATTTGAAAGCTGGTCTGGGAACTGGTTTTCTCGCGCGAGAAGTCGAGGAAAAAAATTGTCGAGCCTGGCGAGGCGATTGCCGCAGCACCTCTGGCTGGCAGCTGGCCGGCTGGCTGGCTGGCACCCGCCTCTGCCAGCCAGAGACGCCGGCGGCTTCTTCGTGGGGCTCGAGTGGCCTACCTCACCACCCTCCCTCTCTCCATCACCCATCCCTGTCATCGTACATTCCCCCCTTTTTGTTTCATCTTCAAGAACGCTTTGCTGATCACCAGTAGGCTTTTCATTTGCAATCAAAATGGTGAGTAGCCGGCGAGTCTTCCCCTCGACAAGGCTCAAGGATGGCCAGCCCGTCGATCCTCGTCGCCGTCGCTGTCGTTGTCGCAGCAGCAAGAGGATGAAGTCCGACGGCCGGCAGCGACATCGACGAGGATGGCAAGGATCTGCACGCACCGCCCCCTTTCGACGAGCTCTATTGCACAAAAGCAAGCACCAAGCGACGTTATCGACCCGCGTGCTGACCTGAACCCCGCCCGCTCTTCTCCCCTGCACCTCCGCGTTGCCAGGCTATCACTAAGGCTCCCAAGTCCGTCGAGGCCGCTCAGGCCAAGAAGTCTGGCGCTGCTGCCGCCAAGGGCGCCAAGAGCGTCAACAAGTTCTTCATTGACTTCTCTGGCCCCGCTAACGACGGCATCCTTGACGCCGCCGCCTTTGAGAAGTTCCTGCACGACAGGATCAAGGTCGAGGGCAAGGCTGGCAACCTCGGCGACGTCGTCAGCGTCACCCGCGAGGGCGAGGGCAAGATCTGGGTCAACACCACCATCCCCTTCTCAAAGCGCTACCTCAAGTACCTCACCAAGAAGCACCTCAAGCGCCAGCAGCTCCGCGACTGGCTCCGCGTCGTCGCCACCTCCAAGCAGGGCTTTGAGATCAAGTTCTTCAACGTCTCGTACGACCAGGAGGAGACCGAGGCCTAAGAGGGTCCCCGCGGATCTCGTCCCTGTGTTGTTCTGAGCTGCGTTTGCTTTGGCGCATCTTTTGAGGTGGAAAGCCGTCGGTCACGCAGAACGGTGATGTTGAGGGAGCGGTTGTGGTAAACTTTGACTTGGGAGGAGGAACAGTCTGGCGCCCCGCTTGAGATGAGGCGGTCACGCCTCTTGGCTGCCCCTCGTCCTTCGAGCCGCCCCGCAGGTTGGACTTGCCTTTGCCGCTCGTCGAGGTGGATGTCGGTGCTGTCGCTTCCGGACTCATGCCATGCCATGCCCCCCCTAAAAAAGAGGCCCGCAAGGCATCCAAGGCTTCAACCAGGACCCTCTGGATGCCGGGCACACGATCAAACATACCCTGCCTCTCTTCTCTGCACATATGGCCCTACGACTGCTCGACCGCGGCCTCACACTCCAGCGGGACCATGACGCGTCCAAATAGCGGCGGTGGAGCCTGTGCCGGTGGTCCGACACCACCATCGCCACAGACGGGCCGCCGGACCACCTTGTCAGCGAGAGCAGCCTCGGCGCCCCTGCTTGCCGTCCCCGCCGCCGACACCGCCACCGTTCACACCACTACGGCCGCCATCAACGCCGCCCTGCGTGACATAGAGGCCGCAGCGACACGACCTACTCCTATCTCAGATCGGAGCCAGATCTCTTGATGAACGCCGAACCAGGACCAAGCTCTGGCCGTCGACCGGCCCCGCGGGTCGACATACATACATCGGCGTGAGGCGTCGGTGTCTTGGCTTGTCTGCAACAGTCGCCGCAGGTCCTTGCCACAGACGTCGCGTGTGTTCCCAGCAATCGTCTCTGCTGCGACGTACGCCGCTCTCGGACCGTTGCCGGTCTCACAGCGGCCGTAGGAACGCCACCCCGTTGTCGGCTCCCACTGCGCCACTTCATCTCGATCGTCTCATGGACGCCCCGGTCGGGGAATGAGAGGGGGTTGTGGGCAACTTTGCGTTGAGTCCGATGCCACCGTCGGCATGCAACAGCGCCGCGTTGGCCGAAGGGCGATGAGAAGGCGCGGTTCCCCTCGGGCTCTCTCACAGACGAGGCGACGCTCGGCCTATCCCTGCGACGATGAGGGGAGAGCTCGTCGAAGTCGTTCGACATCGCCTCGATCTGGCTGCTGCCGCACCACCTCATTGATGAGGTACAAAAGGACCTCAAGCCTGGCCATGATGGTCCTGTCTCTCATCCACTCACCTCACTCGCTCACCCATTCGGCTTCCCTCATCTCTCTATCTCCCAACCTCGCTCTCTCGTCCTGCACTCAATCTCTTGCCCCAACTCTCAGTCCATCCCATCATCCCTCTTTGCTCCTTGAACCCCTCAGCCACACGTCTAAAAATGATCCTCAGCCGCTGGTCCTCCCTGCTCGTCTTCGTGCTCGTCGCGACCCTTGCCTCGGCCAGCGTCGCCGTTGAGAGCAAGCCCGGTCGCCTGCTTGCTTCCGACGAGCGCCGTCAAGTCCTGGCCGCGTCTGCCAAGGGTGAGCACCCGACACGTCGATCGCCGTCCTTGAGCACACGCTGACCTTGGCCCTGCCGCGCCTCCTGGCACCCACAGACGTCGACCCCGCTCCCCGTGGCGTCGCCGTCGTCGAGCGTCGCATGTACAGCGGCGATGGGCCGGAGGACCGCCGCGCGTACCACTTCGACACGATGCTCAACAGGTACCCCTCCTCGCTGTCGCCCGCCGAGCAGGTGCTTCACCACGAGAGGCTCGACCGCTATTACGAGTACCTCAAGGCGGCCAAGAAGGCCTTTGGTCTCGGCGACCGCGCCTTTCCGGGCACGATGACCAAGGCCGAGTTCGACGGGTTCATGATGGACGTCTTCAACAAGCTCGACACGTCCGACCGCGCGACCCTCGAGGCTCTGCCCCTGGAGGATCCCTTCTTCATCAGCAGCGGCGCCATCGACCCTGCCACGTACATGGCCTGGAAGAACGAGGGCGTGCCCGCCCTCCTCGAGAAATTCGCGACGATGGCGAGCCGCCGTCCCCTCGTCCGTCGCGCCAACCCGGGCGACGGCCAGGCTGGCGAGAGGCAGGCCCTGTCCGACTGGTTCAACAGCCGCCGTCAGGCACTCCGCGGCGCTCGCCTCGACGAGTACCACCGGCTCCAGGACCTGTGGGGCAGGTACCGCCTCTACCTCCGCGTCGTCTTTGGCCTGTCGGAGGAGCAGCTGGACCCGGCGCTGTCGCGCGACGACTTCCGCCAGTACATGCAGTTCGTCTACCACAAGCTCGACGGCATTGACCAGGCCGACCTGGCCGAGCTGCCTTACAACGACCACATCGTCGAGTACTCGGGACGCAGGACCCCGGCCGCCATGAGGAACTGGGATCGGGCCGTCCCCACCCTCCTCCAGGAGCTCGGCGAAATTGCCCGCCACGGCAGGCCTTGAGTCGCGTCTCGGGGCCCAGCGGAGCTTCGATGGCTGTGGCGACGCATCGATGCGGGATCGACGTCGCTTCATGTCCTTTCGATCAGGCTCGCTGGCTTCTCCGTTGCCGCTTAGGCTCCTTGCTCTAGGGCGGATCAGAGGCTACTCTATCGACCGCCCGCCTTCGCACCACCCAGCACACACCTCTATTCGACTCTCCTTATTCATCTCGTTCTCACACAGTCTCTCCAGTCCGTCCCACCTGTCATCTCATCCGCACGGAGCTCCAGCGTCGGACGAATCCACTCCTTCTCTCGCTCCCCAAATTAAACTCGTGTGGGCCTCTGTGATCGTCCTGAGAGTGTAGACTGGCAGGCGTCGCCGTGTCGACCGGCGCTCCACCGACGAGCGCTCCTCGAGATATCCCGGCCGAAGATGAGCGCGGCCGGGAAAGGACACCCCGCAATCACATCCCCGCACTTCATCGAGTTGAGGACAGTCGCCATCAAACGACGAAATAAGGCGGGGCGGGGCTTCTCGGGGCTGAATGGGCCTTCCGGGGCTGACGACGGTGGCGCCCTCGAAGCTACAGACACATTCCTCAAGGCTTGAACGTTCCGGACCTCCGTGCCCGTCGATGGTGCGGGCACTGTTGGCGAGCAGGCTCATGTCTCAGGTCCCGCCAGTCTCTGCGCCCATGTGCTGCCCGCTCAAGAGGTACAAGTACCGCCACCCACCCTCGATCTTTTCCCTCTCCATCACCCACAACGTCTCCTCGCTCCCCGCCCTTACAGAAAGCCCGACCACATTCTTTCCACTCCACGCTCTTTCATTCACAGACGCACGCGCACCAAGTAGCACGCGCCACCACGATGATCGTCAGCGCGCCTCGCCACCTTCTCATCTTCGTCGTGGCCACCTTCGCCCTGCTCAGCATTTCAGCCAAGGCTGCACCCGTCGAAGCCAAGCCAGGACGGCTGCTCTCGCCCATTGAACGTCGTCATTTCCCGCAGGAGCGGCAGGAGAGTGAGCATGCTGCGGTCCCCATCCCCTTCACCGGCCGCTGATCGTGTCGGTCTTCAGTCGCCAGCGCTGACCATCACCATCACCCTGCGCCCTCGCTCGTCCCTCGGCTACCAGTCGACGATCCTAACCTTCGCACCGCCGAAGCCTTCGGCCCACCGCGAGGGGGTGAGAGCATCTTGACGGGCAGTCCCGGGCGCTTCGACCTCGACCGACTGCTCAACAACCACCACATCATCTTCTCGCGCGCGCACCAAGACGACGTGGGTAGGCGCATCGACATGTTCAAGGCGTACCGTCGGGCGCTGGCCGACTCGCTGGGTCTGTCCGAGGACGACGTGCTGTCGCCCCGGCTGACGCCTCGGGAGTACAACGACTACCTGTTCGACATCACGTTCAAGCTGGCCAACGCCGAGACGGAACACGAGCTCCTGGCGCTGCCGTTCCGGGACGCGCTGTTCAGGCACCACGTCGAAACAGTGCCCGACGCCCAGAGGCGGTGGATGGATAACGGCGTATCCGGCCTGATGCGCGCGATCGAACACATCAACGGCGCCGCTCGCCCGCTCCGCCGCCGTGCCCTGTCCGACGATGAAGGCACCAGTGCCCAGCCCCAACCTACAGTGGCCGAGGAGAGGAAGGTGAGGCCCAGCACCTTTCTCGCTACGCGTCCGGGCGCCACGTCTGGTCCGCGTGAGATCAACTTCGGGCACATGCAGGGAAGCTACCGAGCCTACCGCGACGCCCTGCTCGAGCACCTCAAGCCCTTTGGCCTAACGCAGGACGACATCAACTCCAAGATGACCCAGGGGGAGCTCAAGGCGCACGTCGATGCGATCTACGACCTGCTCAAGGCGCGCGACCGCGCCACGATCGCCTCGATCCCTCAGAAGGACACAGTCCTGGCGGCTAGCGGGAAGCTCACCCCGGAAGCCATGGAAGCTTGGCGCCGGCACGCCGTCCCCTCGCTCCTCGACAAGCTCGAGGACGTCGAACGTGCCTACCCCGCCACGACCATCAAGAAGCTCTTGGACCCCGAGACGATCCAGGAGTTCCTGGCGTCCGAAGCGACCAAGGACTTCATGAGGAAGCTGAGGCCCTAGGTGCGTCCTCGTGGTGCGACAGGAAGCAGCGACTCCTTCTTGGCGGCCGTAACGTCGCGCTGTATGTACTGTGCAGTACGGTCGAGTCAGGGCTGATCTGAGGCCGCTAAACGTTGTCTCTAGTCCCCACGGTAGGCAGCAGCCGCCTTGAGCCTCCTTTCGCATGGGGGCAGCAAGCCAGCTAGTCATTGCGTGGCAACGAGACGGGCGACAGGTCTGCCGATGTATCTGCACCATCTGTCAGTCAGCCAGAAGTATCGGGCAGTCGAGCGCGCGCTTGTGAACGTCGAGGCGGCGAGTCCGCACACGCCGCACGGGGACAGACGTACGACGAGCTTTGGCGGGTCTCTCCAGCATCAGCCAGCTTCGCCTTTCCTCTCGCACATCCGCCACCTGCTTCCTATCGACTTTCAGGAAACGCTCCGAGGGATGGCCAGGCCACTTTCTCGCTGCACCACAATCAAGCCAGTCACGAATGCCGCGCCTACTCCCGCCAGATTCGTTCAACAAAAGGTGACGCCCCCATCTGGCCTGGCCCGGCCTGGACTGGACTGGATGGGACGGGACGGATTGACTGTATTTCGACCAATGAAGGTGTGAATGGGGGGCGCGAGGCCCCGGTACAAGGTAGCAAAGGCGGAGCAACAAAGGGCGGAGTGGGGTCGGGACAGAAGTCGAAGAGCGAGCGAGCGGCGAGGAAAGCGAGATCCACCGCGCAACTAGGCCGCGTGGGAAGGCTGAAAGAACGAGTGGATGGGTAAAGGTGAGTTGATACAGAGGCAAGGACGCGGCAGGTTACGGCACGGCACGACACGGCAGAGGGAGACGGGGAGAGAGACCGAAACAAGGAATGTGGTGCTGGCGGCGGACGCAGAATGGTCCGACGGCCGGGGCAGAGGGGACAGAAGGCGAAGCAAGCAGGCAATTTTGTGGTCGTGATGGCTGGGCGCCGCAGAGACTGCTGCGGCGGCCGCGGCTGGCTTTTGGACTGCCGTCGGGGCAGCGCAGGCAGGGCGGTGTTGCGCAATCGAGTCGCGTACCCGCATCGCGCGGACGCAGCGCAGCCACATCGCCGAGCAAGGCGAGCAGGGCAAAAGAGAAAGAAGCAGGGATCCAACAAGTCGGAGCAAGGCGGGCGGGGAGCCAAAGGGGAGGAGGGGAGCTGGACCAGCGCTTGGAACCCTCCGTCCGTCCCCTCATCCGGCAAAGGGATCGGCAGCGGCACGCGAGCCCGCCTGACCGTGGTAGCCGCCGCGCTGGCGGCCGTCGTACTCGTCGTAGCTGCCGTCGTGCTCGGGCGACACGCTGCCGGCGCGCTGCAGGTCAGCGTAGGGCGAGTAGCTCCGGCCGCCCGTGTGCTGCGCGCCCGCGGCGTCCATGCCGCGCGCCGCGGCGCTCGAGTAGCCCACGCGGGAGCTGCCGTCGTAGTAGCCCTCGCCGTCGTCGGTGACGTAGGCGGCATCGGCGAGCGACAGCTCGCTGGGCGCGTGGCTGTCGCGCTGCTGGTAGCTGCGGCCATAGTTGCGCATCCGGCTCGACGGCGGGGCTCCGCCGTCGCCATAGGCGCTGCCGACGGCCTGGAACGCGACGGGAGCCTGCACCTCCTGCATCGGCGGGCCCGCGGCGTCGTCGTAGTAGTAGTCGTGCGTCTCCTCGGTCACCGAGC